ATTCATTCGAAAGCTAAAGATGCGAAAGACAAAGAGGTGGCGAAAGATTCACCATTGCAGCCAACAGGCAAATGTAAGCGTCAATCTGTTGTGCTACTGGTTTTTATCAAATTTACTGCTAAATTTTCCATTTCAGCAAACAAAACCAAATATCCGCTACAACAACAGCAGATGTTTGCCAGTGGGAAAAAGGTGCAGCCGGTTGCACCAATGCATAAGCTTAGGTAGTTTTGATAAATTAATCGTGGCATTGGCAAGTCATCAGAAGCTTGTACTAAAACATACTTGTCTATATAGTCAACGTTAGTCATGCAAGTTTAAGTGCAGATAACAATGCTAGTATCTTCAGCCAAAAACTATCCATGTCTCCAAAAGCTCCCACAAACCAACGGAAGAAGAGCAATGCGTCAGCTGAAGCTGATAGACGACTAACGCGAACGCAACAACTTATGGATGGAAATCTAGAACGTCCGACTGGAGCTACAACAAACGTTGGCAACAGCATTTCCACATCGAATTCATCTTCGAATCTGGAGAATGTCGGCATTAGAACTCTACCGTCGAACCGTGAAGATAAACGTCCTGACAACTCCGAAAAAGAATCTATGGGTAGAGTTTTTTTTGTTCTATTGCTCTCTCTCTCCAATGTTATCCATTCTTTAGAGCCTCCTCGTCAAAAGCCTCAACCTGTTGCTGTTGCTCCTGTTCAGCAAAAGAGATCAACCAATAATTCTCCACTTTCTTCGGAAGCCTCTGCTCCACCATCACCCGTCACACCCACCCCCGCTACTGCAAATTCGGGCTCGCAAAATCTGCCAATCCCTGTCGCTGTTACCACCTCCATGCCGACATCACGTCCTTCGATGATCCCAGTGTCCGCAGTGCATCCCACTGTCTATACGGGAACGATAGCGGGAGCTGAACCAATTCCCATTCCGGTGATGCTCCCAGTAATACCAACGCTGATTCCCGGCCTGACACTCCCAATTGGTGGCGTTGATATGACTGGTGTTTCTTTGGGGGCCCTGGCAGACTACTATGGGCAAATCTCAGGGTATGATGATTCAAATATGCCGGTTACACCAACTCCCTCGCTCGCCTCAAGCATTAGTAATGAACGCACAGTAAGTCGAAGGCGAGGCCATTCAATTCTGTTCTGAACTTATGATATGATC